TATGGTTCTTGAATTGTCAGAGGCTTAATTATTTTCAGTAAAGTTTTAGTTTTAGGGAGAGATTATACTATTTTAATTGTTAAAAAACTGGTCATCAATATACAATATATGTAGTAGCTATTAGCTAGAATATTTAATAAACAAAACGTTGATCACCAGGGCTGGCTAACGGTTTTGCTGTGTTTTATACTTAGCTGGATTTTGTATGAGAAACCAAATTTTGAAGGGCACTCCATACCCTTAGAGGAAGGAGAATTGGAACTTTCTGGTCTCTGGGGTATAGAAGATAATCTGGAAAGAAACGATGAAGCAGAGTCTGCTAAGCCTGTGGTAATTGGTTCAATCAGACATGTGGTCCAGGTAGGTTACAGTAAAACCAGATTTCATTCATTCATTCAGCAAATATTTATTAAATGCCAGGGACTATTCTTACTTTAAGGGAAATGTTCATTTCAAGTTTATTTAAATAAGTGATAGGGGAAAATATTTGAAGCTTATGGATATTTTTTCTATACTTCTTAGTTAAGTATTTGTGTATTTTAAAGAGATTAGAAAAGAAACATCATTCTAATTGAGTAAAAATATTTCACAATAAAATCCTTATGGTAAATTAATTATATACATTGATCTATCTGTCACTCTTGGCCCTCCCATTTCCATCTCCCAAATACATTTTACTTAATTAGCCTGGTTTCGATGAGTTCTACCTGAACAGATTTTTCTGACTTTATTTTCTGGTTACCGCATGAGTTTAGGTTACCTTGGGTGGCTTAAAGGCACTTTACTTTGGAAAAAATAAATAACCTGAAAATAATTCAGTTGAAGATAACTCTGAGATTTCACGTAGGTTTTTAAAAAATAGGTATTTGAGGCCCTTTTATGGATTGGGTAAAATTTCTTGGGTAAAAGTCATTGATATGGAAGATGTATCAGTCTTTTTTTATGGCTGTTGGGATTTTGATGATTCTTCATCTTCTAAAATTGTAGTTAATGGTGTTTTTCAAGTGGAAAATTAAAACGTCAGTCTTACATAATCAGGATGGGAGTTGGAATGCAATGGGGAGAAAAGGAAGATTCTAAAATGAGAATGGCTAAGAATGAGGAAGCATGAATAACAGGTTTTGGCAGAGGAAAGACTTACCTACTTCCTAGGTCAACATTTCTGTTTGACTTAGACGGTAATTGGTGTTCTAAATGATTTATCTTTTAAAAGTTTTAAGCACATAATGTGATAAGCCTTAAATAGGACATGGGAACCCATTTCTAAATATCCTAGTTGGTGGAACAGTTCACCTGCAGTTTTTATTTATTGCTCAAATAATATTGCCAATAATGGAATGTTTAAAAATATTCAAATCCCACTACCATGAAGTGTCTACTCCCTTCATTTTTTGAATTCTCTACCCTTTCTTGGAGCCCTGGTGGTGTAGTGGTTAAGAGCTTGGCTGTTAACCTAAAGGTCGGAAGTTTGAATCCACCAGTTGCTCCTTGGAAACCCTATGAGGGAGTTCTGCTCTGTCCTATAGGGTCACTATGTGTCAGAATTGACTCCATGGAAACAGGTTTTTTAACCCTTTCTTGGCCATGTTCCCGTGTGCTTTTTCTGTAGTTGTAATCATAGTACAGATACAATGTTGTTCTACTTTTTTCACTTAACACTGCGGTTCTCACTCCTTTTTCTCTCTCCATGCCATTTTCCTAAAGATCACACTCCCATTGGTAAAATCTTTCAGTAATTTGCAAGTGGTGCTAGTATCAGAATGGGGGGGGGGGTGTTTTGGGATTTGGTTTTGTTCCTTTTGGGGTTTGTGTTTTGGGATTTGGGTGTTAAAGAGGCCTCCTGTTTCGCCTGACAATAGCAGACTTAATGTAAATTGCTTTTCATGTTACTACATTGTTTCAGGTTTAACTGAACATCATATTCCATTGAACTGATGTATCATCATTTAGGTTACCTTTCCTTCTGTGGAACTTAAGTTTATTCCTAATTTTTAAATAATATTGCATGAACATTTGTATGCCTTTAATAATTTATAATTTTCTGATTTATTTTCTTGAGATAAAGTTTTCTGAATGGTGTCAGGTTAATGAATTAATTATATTATTTTTACAGAGTATATGCATGTTTTCTTGAAACATGAACATAAGTCACAACATATATTCAAGAGGACCATCTTTTTAGTTCATTAGAGTTGTTCCTTTTGGTAATATTTGAAAGAGTCTCACCTGAGCTCATCTAAGCATCTGCTTTTCTTTCGTAACTCAGAACCTCAGTTCACTTAGCCCAGCAACATAGCAGACGTTCAACAGATACTCAGTTAATGCTTAGGTACTCAGCCAAGAGAAGCTTTTTGAAGAGTGCAGAGCATGGGTGAGTGACTAAAGTGCAGAGATTTGTAAATCACCATAAATGCCTGCCTTCACCTTTACAACTTAGACCAAACCAACATCAGAGAGGTTTAGTCATAGTCAAGGAAAGTTACTACAGGGGACTTATGGTACAAAACAAAGTTGAGAAAGACTTTAATCACACCCATTCTGTAGATTAGAGCCTCTGGCCTTGAATTGTCCCATCTGAGCAAAGGAACCGAAACTCCCATGACCAAGCAAAGCCAAGCAGTTTTTTCAGTGAGGATAAGAGAAATAAATATGCTCCAAAACTCTAATAAAATCCATTTCTGATCTTTGTGTGAATGTCACACCGAGATGTATAATAACTAAAGGAGTGTGTCTGCCCCTCAAAGAGACACACTGTTAAGTCTTGGCTTAAAACAGGAAAGGCATAAAATGGCAGGTGCTCTGTGAAATATATGCGTATATTTAAAGCTTATTTTAATTAGCCACAAAAAAGAATAATGGAGTTAAATACCTAGTGTAATTATTACAAATGTCTATATGTGTTTTTTCAGGATTACAGAATTAGTCAGATTGACTTATTTACTGAACCAGAAGGGTTAGGACTTCAAAATTCCTACTTTGATGATACTGAAGAAATGCAGGTGTTTGGTATAATGCAGAAGACTTGTTCCATTAAAGTACATTGGGGCACGTAAGTATTTTATTTCAAGTACAATTTTAATGAACCTGTTCTGTGAGTGTAGTGCTGGGAGGAGGAATTAAAAGGTAGTTTCTCTAATTTGTTGTCCTGTTAAGTAATTATTAAGTAAAATATATTTTTTATAAGGCATATACAATGCTGAATCTTTTGTACCTATGTTACTATGATTAACGTCTCTTATAAGCAAGAACAGTTTATTGGAGGAAGGGTGGGAAAAAAACTGCATTTATAATGTAGGGCTTTCCTTATCACAGACGAACCTGATTAATGCAGAGCTGAGTAAACAGATTATACTTTCATGGTAGCCCACAGGAGGTAATTTAAAGCTGTGTCTCTGAGATTTCAGATAGAATGGAGCCAACACATGGTTACTTCCTTTAACATTTTTTCACAATGCCGTCCAAAGTCCCTAGGATGTTGGTTTCACAAATCACAGGAAACTGCAAGAGTATTTTGAAAGAAATGGGAATGTCTCAGATAGAGGAGAAATGAGGATAGAAAGTGCAGACTGCAGTACCTTAGAGCAGTGGTCTCTAAAGGGGTTGTACTCTCCCTGGGGCGTGTGGGAGGTCTCCACTGAGATGCAGGAAGAAAACATTAAAGTTTATGTTTTATTTAAAATCTCTTCCTTTTAAAATTATATTTTTGGGCATGTTTTTAATGCACATAATGTATTCAGTGGTAATATATATAATTTATAAATATTTGTATATTCAGAGTATGCTCAAAATTTTTTATGGGATATGCAATAAAAAAAGTTTTCACTTTACCTCAAAGTAAAGTGATACAGAGTATCTCTGCAGTTAGTCCTAAATTATATCTTTTTCACCCTGTTAGTTACAAATCGCAGTTTGCTATTGTTCTCATTTGGAAAGAATTATTTGACCGGATATAGGAATTCAGGGAACTGAAGACCACAGTGTCATTTTTGGTCCTCAGAAATCGGACCTAAAAACTTCTTGGCAACCTGATAGGGAGTATGACTACTGGACCTTGGGCTTGGGGTAGCAGCCATCCTTGAATAGTTGAAAGGTACTCTCTGTTATTTCACAGGAGGTCCCAGGAAAAACCAGTATAAATTATAGAGGCAGATTTTGACTTGAGCTAAAGAAGCACTTTCTCATGGTTAGAGTGGTTAAAATGGAAATGGGCTGCCTTGTCAGGGAGAGGGTTCTCCATCACAGGAGGTGTTTGGGTAAAGATGGGCAACAGTTTATCTAGGATTTTATGAAGCATGAGTTAGATAGCTCCTTCATGACTATTTGTTCATCCGTTTATCTACTTTTTAAATTTTGAAATATAACACACTTAGAAAAGAGTTCATAAAAGATAAGTGTATAGTTAAACAAAAAATAAAGTGAGCACCCATGTAGTCACTACCCAAGTCAAGAAATAGAACACTGCCAGTACCCAAAAAGCCGCCTTGTGCTCCTTCTCAATGCCAGCCTCCTCTATTGGTTAACAACTTCCCTTCCAGAGATGCATGAGATAATAGCAAGGAAAGACTATAGTAATGCTTTATCAGTATACGAAGGCATATTTATTAAGGCAGAATTTAGGGTATGAAGAATAATATTAAGTTAAATATCTCCTTTTCATGTATAAAGTTATTTTCCAAGGACAGTATAAATGTTGCTACTTTAAAATAGTGCACATTCTAAATTATACCATTTGGTACCCGTAGTCCTTGACAAGGGAGCCCTAGTGGCACAGTGGTTAAAGTGCTCAGCTGCTAACTGAAAAGTTGATGGTTCAAACCCACCAGCAGTTCCACGGGAGAAAGATGTGACAATCTGCTTCCAAAAGATGTACAGCCTTGGAAACCCTACGGGGCAGTTCTATTCTGTCCTGTAGGGCCGCTATGAGTCGGAATTGACTCGACAGCAGTGAGTTGGTTTTGGTTTGGGCCTTGACAGGGTGATGAAATTTCTAAAGGTGATTAATTTAAAATTAGGAATTAGGAAAACTACTTTAAATTAGGAATGCCTACTTTAAATATGGCAAGGAATTAGGACTTTAACAAATATGAACTCGAAATAATATCTGTGAGATGTATACATTTTGGTAAATCCATTCATTCATTCATTGAGCATCTACTATGTGCTAGGTGCTTTTCTAGGCACCTAAACAGCAGTGAGCACATAAAACAATATCCCTGCTCTAATGGAGCTGTTAGTCTAGTTGTTGTGTGCCATTGAGTCGATTCCAACTCAAAGACACCCTACAGGACAGGGTAGAACTGCTCCATAGGGTTTCCTAGGCTAGAATCTTTGTGGGAGCAGATTGCCAGCTCTTCCTGGAAAGCAGCTGGGGGTTCGAACTGCTGAGTTTTGGTAAACAAGTCCTTTAAACCACTGTGCCACCAGGGCTCCTTCATTAGTCTAGTAGGAATAGACAGTACAAATGCATACATAATATGTCAGATTATATATTAAAGTAATTAAATGCTACAAACCAAAACACCAAACCCACTGCCACTGAGTCAATTTCGACTCATAGTGACCCTATAGGACAGAGTAAAACTGCCCGATAGGGTTTCCAAGGCTGTAAATCTGTACAGAAGCAGACTGCCACATCTTTCTCCTGTAGGGCAGCTGGTGGGTTCTAATTGGCAGCCTTTTGGTTAGCAGCTGAGTGCTTTAACCGCTGCGCCACCATGGCTCCTTATTAAGTGCTACAAGAAACAAATTATAGAGAGGGATGGTGAGCAGTGCTGTTTTAGATTGGGTGGTCGGGGAAGATCTCTGGCGCCATTTAAGCAGAGACTTGAAGCAAGTGAGGGAGTCAGCGGTGCACATCTGGAGGAGGAGCGAGAGGGGACGTGTCCTATGCAGGAATAACAGCATCTGCAAAAGCCCTGCTTGGTAAGTTTGGGCAACAGCCAGGAGGCCAAGGTGGCTGGAGTAGCGAGCTAGGAGGATGGTGAATGGGAGAGAGGTGGGTGGGCAGGGCCCAACTGTGTCAGGCCTTTTAGGCCTCAGGGAGAATTTTAGATTTAATCTTAAGTGACATGGGAAATCATTGGAGGCTTTTGACCTAACTTGTGTTTTAGAAGGATCACTCTGGCTATTATGTAGAAAATAGACTCTAAAGAAGCAAGGGTGGAAACAAAGAAACCAGTTAGGAGGCTATTGCAGTAATCCAGGCAAGAGGTGATGGTGACTTGAACGGGCTGATAGTGGTAAAGAAGTTGGAAGTGGTCAGATTCTGGGTGAGGGTGACAGTGGTGGGGGAGGTGAGAAGTGGTTAGATTCAGGATAAATTTTGAAGGTAGAACGATATAGTATGCTGACAGGTTGTATGTGGGATACAGGGGCGCTGAAAAATGTCTAGGGTTTTGGACCCCAGCATTTACTGGAATGGAGAAGACTTAGAGGAGCAGGTTGGGAGGGAGAGCGAAATTCAGGATTTTGGTTTTGGACAAGTCTGGGATGCCAACTGCATGTTCAAGTGAGAGCCAGGAAGCTGACTGGATGTGTGAGGCTGGCGCTCAGGGGAGAGGCTGGAGATACAAATTAAGGTATCATCAGCATAGAGAGGTATTTAAACCATGTGCTAGATGAGATCCCAAAGGGAGTGAGTACAGTTAAGAGAAGAGAAGCCATCTGAGCCCTGGGCACTTTTATATTTAGAGATTGGGAAGAAAAAGAGGACTCTCAGCAAAAGAAATGCCTTCATCTCTTTTTGCCTTTAATTTTTTTTATATCAAAGGAATTTATACATATCCTTCCCCCCTCAAAGTATTAGTGTTAATTTGAGAAATGGTACTTTCCTTAGAAAATAATCAGATAGGCATCTGCCAGAATATTTTAATCTCACAATGTCCGGAAGGTTTCATTACTTAGGCTTGGGCTATTCTGAAGCATATTGAGCTACACGTAAGTAATGTTTCTTACCTTTGCAGTAAGTTTCACTTTTGCCCCACGGATGGTAGTTACAATCCTGTTATAGTTTTCAATTTTACAATGAGCTTACATGGTGATAGACATCTTCTTTCTGGCTGTTTGTTCCTGTTGCCGTTATGATAATCGAAAGCCTCCTTCAATGTCGGCTTCACCAATTCACAGTTTGGGCTCATTGTACTTGGTCAGCCACCTTTACAGATCTCCAGATAGAGCCTGGATGGTTTGGGAGATTACAGCTGATAATAAGTACCTGAGCTCACTTTGCTCGGGTCTTAGCTGTGGAGGGAACATCTATAGATTACATTAGGAGATTTATTCCAGGGCCTATTCACTCTAGATTAGGCTCTTCTACACGTATACAAAATAAGGGTATTTCCAAATTCTCATTTGGGGAAATTACTTGCAGACCAACTAAATTCCCCTTTCAGATTCTATAGCGTGTAATTTTTTTTAAATCCCTTTGTTTTAAAGCGGCTATCTAATCCCTACCAGAAGTTAGGGCATATTGGTTTTTTTTTGGTATATTTCTAACAGAAACAAAGAATTTTAGAACTTCAAGGGAGTATGAGATTATCTGGCCGAATACCATCATTTAATCAAGGAAGACAGGCTCTGGTCACTCTCAAAGTTAGGGCTAGTTGTTAGTGGAGCATGCGCTAAAATGCAGATGTTCTGACTGGCATGTCCAGGTACCTTTTTTTTAATGGCTAAATATTCTTTGATCATTTTTGTTATGAAGTATTTGGTATATACAAAAGAATATATGTACATATGTGAGTTTTGAGGTCTAATAATAAAACAAAGCCCCATGTGCCCACCAACCAGTTTACCACCTAGATTGTTACTAACACTGCTGCAGCACCCTGTGTAGCCCGCCCTGGTCCTGTCCTCCTGTCTCCTCCGCACACAGAACCACTGTCCTGAATTTTGGGTTTTTCTCATTTCCTTATTTTACAGTTTCTCCCTATAGTATGTGTCCCTAAAAATATTTTAGTTTTGCTTGTTTTTGAACTTTATGAAATATTATCAAACTCCTCTGTGGCTTCCTTGTTTTACTATACATTGTTTCTAAGATTACCATACTAATGAGTATACTTGTATTTTATTCTATTTTTACTGCTATATAATATTCCAATGTATGTATTTCACTGTGGAGTATACCATACTAGAGCCCAACTTTTTTATTATGAAAGTTTCAAATATATACAAAAGTACAAAGAATAGTTCAGTGCACCCATATACCCTCCACTTAGAGTCAATAATTGTTAACATCTTGCCATATTTGCTTTATTGTTTTTTTCTGAACCATTTGAAAGTAAGTTGTAGATATCACTACCCTTCAACTTTGAAGACTTCAGCATGTATCTCTTTATAATGACCTTCTCCTGCATAACTACACAATCATTACCACACCAAGAAAATTAACAATAAGTCTATGGTAATATCTACTCTATAGCCCATGATCCAATATTCCCAATTGTCTCAGGAATGTCTTTTATAATTTTTTTTTTCTAACCAGGATACAATCAAAGTTCATATTATGCATTTGGCTGTTCTCTTTGGTCTCTTTTAATCTCAAAAGTAGCCTCATTTTTGTTTCCCATGCCACTTACTCTTTAAAGAATTTAGGCCAGCTGCCTTATACAGTGTGCCACATTCTGGATTTGGCAGAGTGTGTTCTCATGGTGTAATTTAACTTGTTCCTCTATCCCCTGAGTTTTCTATATGCTTCACGTTAGGTCTGGAGGTATGATTAGATTCAAGTTGAACAGCTGGACAATGATACTTTATATAGGTAGTGCTACGTATTCAGGTGGCACCTGCTAAGCAATTTACCCGCTAGCAATATCAAGTTTGATCGCTTGGTTAACGTGGTGCCTCTATATCTCTCCGTTATAAAGTACATTTTTCCCTTTGAGATTTATAGCCCACTCTCCCTTGAATAACCTCAAAGTCAGCACATTCATATTTTATCTTCTGGTATCCAGTTGGTTTCTGTAAGTGGCCAACATTCATGTACAGCCGTGTTTGGGGAATAAGACTGTGGTCCACGAAATATCGTTTTTGGTTTAAAAATAAGTGAACAAGATAAGACTAGTTTTCTTTCGTGTGACTCAAAGGATATTTCTAGACGAGTAACTACACAAATGTTTTTAATAAATGTATGGACAGTCGTTATTATTACGTCAACGATATTTATTTGTATGTATATATTTGTTGGGTTTATTTAAAATGTAAGCCCATACTTTGTAGTTGTACTGTTTACTCGTATGATAGGCAAAAGCTCATTACCTAAGTACACAGGGAAGTAAAAGAGTACCTTTAGAAATGGAAAAAAAACACTGCCTGAAGATAGTTTCCCCCGCTCCTGATGGCCTCATGAATAATGTGTTGCAACAGAATTTAGGAAAAATGAATCATGGTCTGTATATGAGTTTTCAGATTCCAGAGTCCACCCAGCATTCATCAATGTCTGCCTGAGTTACCCAGCTGCCCCTCAGGACTCACTGAGGAAGCTCTCTCAGAGCAGCAGTCTTTTCAGATGTGTCAGCTTATGTGTTCTGTTTTTTAACAAATTCCCCTTTAGTCAAAATCACCCTCCTCTGTGTCATGTAATTAAATGACATGCTTCAAGCAAAGTAAAATTTTTAGTGTCAGATGAAGAGATCCTCTCAGAACTCAAATTATAGAAGGAAAGACTTAATGAAAAGGGTACTTTGGTAAGCATCATTTCAAAATCTTACCATCACTTGTTCATGGGCCACCCATTCTGCTTATGAAATATTAAGCCTGTTCCCCTGTGAAGGAGTCAGACTTTGAGTTCCCTGCCTTTGTTAGCCTGACAGTACAATTTACGACAGAACTGCTATTATTCAGTTAGGGTGCAAAATCTACGTGTAGTATGCGGAGATTGCTTTGAGCTCTAAAAAAACATGCAATGCACCCTTAATTGTCATGCTTAAAACGTAAGGAAGTTTAAAGGCACCCCATCCTTAGCCTGTTTCCTTGTGGTTTTAGGGTATAGGGATGGTATTTAAAAGATAAGCCTCTTTTTTTCCTTAAGTTAATTTTTTATTGAAGATATAACATTTCTACAAAAAGGTACACAACAAATCCTAAATGACCACACTGAGTGAATTTTCACAAAGTGAATACATGCTTGTAACCATCATGCAGATCAAGAAATGGGGTGCTGCCAGCATCTCAGCAGCCCCCCTCAAGTCTCCTGCTGGTCATCTCCCCCAACCGCCATCCCAGCAACTATCATCCTGACTTCTGACATTGTGAATAAGTTGTGACCCCCAGCCATATACCACCTGCAACCTCCCAGCATTTTTTCTTTATGTGTGCTGACAGATGTTCAGTAGGACTCTAGTTGTAAGTCCTGTATAGTTAGTTTTAGCAGTTACTGATTTACCTAGGGGATCTTTAACAAAAACCATCACCAAAACCGTGCCCTTGGACCAAAATTGGGAACAAGAGAAAAGCAAAGAGGGATTATTTGACCCATTTTGGTAGTAAAAGATTTCATTTATAGCCCCAACCTTTTCTTGGTACAGCGTTCTGAGGAACATGGTAGAGGACAACTAGGACATTTTAGCTAGAATAACAAAGAATTGGAGAGTATGAGTAGGTAATCACCAAAAATTCTGTTCTTGTTTACAGATGGGGTACATTAACACCTTTCATATAAAAGTCACTTCTCCAGCAATCTAACTTTCCCCAGTCGCTCCCAGGAACCAAGGAATTTATGAGGAGACTTTGCACAGTCTTTAGAGACAGTTCTAATAGGCATGGTTTTCTGGTTTCCTGGCTTGTAGTACATTAGAGGGGGGTGGGGCTGCTGGAGCCCTGACCGCAGCAGAAGTGACAGCTGGCAAGCTGGTAGCAGGGTGGGGTATTGAAAAACCGCAAAAATCAGATCCAAGAGCTCAAAAAGCTTTGCAGCCTGGAAACAAACAGCCTTGAGAGCTTTAAAGCCCCCGAGGACACCGCTGTACATTAAGTCAGGCTCTCAGAGATGATCTTGAGTAATTCTGAAAAGCATAAACCATGTTCAGTGAGCTCTCCGTAGTGAGAAGAATTGCCATAAAAAATGATTAGGAGCCTGACTCTGGAGTCTGCTTGCATCAGCCCTGCCTTTGGTTCTTACAGCTGTGTGGCCTTGGGCAATTTACTTAGCCTCATCTGTAAAATGGGGACAGTAATATTCCTTCCTTGTAGCATTGTTGTGAGGGTTAAATGAAATTCTAGGTGGCATTCCTTATATGTGCTAGGTAGATGTAAGCTTTGGTTATTAGTTTTTGACACCGTGATGCATGATTAGGTGGAACATCCTATTCTTTGGTTACAAATGAGGCATTACCTTTTAAAGTAAAGCTTAAGATTTCCTAGCTAGGGCCTTTCTAAATACATACAGTATTATAAGATTACAGCCATTGAAAACCCTATGGAGCACAGTTCTACTGAAATACGTGGGATCACCATGAGTTGGAATCAACTCGATGGAACTGGTTTGATAAGATAACTGCTTTTATTACTTGGAAGAAATAGAAACTTTTCCACTTAGACTAAGTTAATAATATAAAATTAAAATAAGTGGATAAAGCCAGCCAAGGAGAAAAGTAGAATATCAAGAAGAGGAGCAAATAATGGCTTATTCCTCTTTGCATCTAACATCATTCTAATACTAAGAGTAACCACGCATCATGTCCATCCACATCCTTTCCTGTCCTTTTCCTCTCTAGTCAGTGGGGGCCTGTGTACCAGAGAAGAGCAAAAACTGAAGTAAATGATGAATTGTCTCCATTTCTTTTTTTCCTTGGTGCTTATTTAGATGGCTGATATACGAACAAGCTGGATTTCAGGGTGTGCCTTTCATCCTTGAACCTGGTGAATACCCTGACTTATCCCTCTGGGATACAGAAGAAGCGTACATTGGATCCATGCGGCCTCTGAAAATGGTAAAAATGAAACAGAACAACATGCCCTTGGAGTCAGTGATTCTTTGCTAGCTTGATGTCAGTAATTCACAGGATGTGACTTTGGAGTAATAAAGCTGACTTTTCGAAAACAAGTATGTAGTAGATGGGACCTATCGCTGGATAGAAGTAGTAGAAAGGATAACTTGCTACAGATCAAAAGGCAGATAAGACAATGTCCTTTGCCTCCAAGGTATTCTTAGCCTTACGGGGACACAGATGTGTGCACAAAGCTTCAGCCCGATGTAGGTTTAATAAGTGAAGAAAGTGAAGAATTAAACATTTATGGAAAAACAGGAGGGAAGAGAAATAAATCTCAACTTGCAGGTAACGTGACAGAGAAGGAGGATAATAAGGAAGGCTTCATGATGAATCAAGCTGGGTTTTAAAAAGTGAGCAGGATTATTTTAGATGGAGATGTCAGGGATACACTGCATGAGCAGGGTACGCCAGCGTGAAAACCAGGTGCCATCGAGTCACATCCAACTCATGGCAACTCCATGTGTGCCAGAGTAGAGCCGTGCTTCATATGGTTTCAATGGCTGATCTTGCAGTTGTCTTCAAAGTCAGTTGGAGACAAATCAGGAAGGCAGTTTTTAATCTTCACTTTACCCTTCCCACCAAAGCATTTGGTTTAATTACCTACACATTTACTGATGTTAATGCAAAGGATTTTGGGATTTTTTTTATAAAATTAAACCTACTTTCAAAGAACAAAGTTTTGTTAGCGTTGTGGATGTATGAAAGAATTGTCCCAGGTTTTGAAAACAGTTTTTAAACATTTATGAAACTTCAGTTTATGGCATTCGAAAAGGATTATTTTTGAAGGGGGCACTTACTTGGTTGTATGAGCACTGGTTTGCTGACAAACTCGGCCACGTTCCTTTACAACTACAGTTCATTTGGTGCATTTGAGCACGTTTTGGCTGTACTTTTTTTAAAGTTGGTTAAGATAAATATTGGTGAAAAATATCCTTCGACTTTCCCACTGATGATTTTAACTCTTGACCTGTTTAATATTTTCATGTAATCCCTTTTTCTCTGGTTTATTTTTAGTGAGTTTTTTTGGGGATTAAAAAAAAAATTTTATGATAAAAGTGTAACAACTCCTCATAGATCCATTCTTTGGGATGTTTCAAATTTTCTCCTGTAGTTTATCTAATTATTCCAACAGTCCTTCAGATCTTATTGTGAACTTGTATGGACTTTAACAGGTTTGTTGGCTGTGCATTGCAAAATCAAATGTCACCAGGGGCTGGGCAGGAAGTACAAATGAGTGAGGCTGACTGCGAGTTAAGCTAAGGTGGTGGTGGAGTCCTAAACCAGGGCTTGTGCCCGGCTGAAGGACGTAGTCTGGCACAGGCCTAGTACGTGCAGAAGGTGAAGGCTGCTGCCTGTGAGAATTTGGGTCCAGTGATGTCAGATCTTAGGACTGTTTGTCAAGAGAAGCCAGAAATAAGGATTTTTTATGAGAAATTTTGAGTTTTTTTAAAAAAAAAACCTTAGTGGGTTAAAGAACACACAGACCACCAATGTGGCCCCACTCTTGACTGTCTTCCTCACGTCTTCATCTGCATTGTTGATAATTTTAAAACTGTCTCATGTAAACTAAAACCAACAGGAACTTAATTACACTCTGAGGTTCAGTGACTTACCACCAACTACTATGGGTAATATAAAATGGTGATGTATCAATGAAAACTATTTTTCTTACTCTGATTTTACTTTCCAGGGTGGCCGTAAAGTTGAATTCCCTACAGATCCAAAGGTAAGAGAAAAAATAGTATTTTTGGTTTTATTCTCACCCCATTTCCATGAACATAAATTTTGTGTGACTTCACATCTAAGCCTCCATGAAACATAATTGCAGCCAAAACAATTGCTGCAACTTACATGTGCCATTTTCCAGGCAGCCATTCTCACTAACGGTATGTGTAGCTGTGACCCAAAAGCTTCAGTGTTGTATTAAGTTCATAATCTGTGGTTGGATTTACTAATTGTAGGACCTGTTGCTGCTTGCCAATTAGCCAGGAAACATTTTTTCTTTTCTAGACAAGCTCCCCCACTACTCCAAAATGCTCTTTCTACTATTCCTACGTCTTACTTCTCTGCCACATCCTTTGATGATACATTTCATTTCATATTTAAAGCAACTTTAGAACCCTCTGGTTTCTTAGTTTTGCCTCAATAAACTCCTAAATATCAGTTCTAGACATTGAACAAAAAACAATTATTTACATACTTATGTTTTGAACATTGGCTTTTGGCCATACCACAACAGGAAAAAATAAGATGTTAATTTAGTTAATTTTTAAAATATGATTAGAATGTTTTGTTTTCCAGGATTTACTGGTATTAAATGACTGATTTAATTAGCTTTGTACAAACTGCTGATATATCTCATTTCTGTTGCAGGTAGTTATCTATGAAAAGCCTTTCTTTGAAGGAAAATGTATGGAACTAGAAACAGAAATGTGCAGCTTTATTACAGAAGGAGGTGAAACAGAGCAAACGACTGGAGAGGATGGTTTGCCATTTACGTCAGTGGGGTCTATGAAAGTTCTAAGAGGCATGTAAGTAGATGGGGGTGATCAGCCTCTACGGATTATACTCATGTTCTCCTCAGCTCTTTGTGACCAGGATTTGAGGGGCTGCTTTGGGCAACTAAGCAATGCTGATAAGTTGGCCTGTCAATATTGTTTATTAGTAAATGACAACTTACTTTCTAATTATTATGATCATATTTTCTATTTTATAAATGTTATGCATTTCCTTTAGAAGCATCCGCTGAAATTGGTCTTGTTATGAATAGATAAAAATGCATAATGTTTAATTACCATTTGAAGAAAAGGTATCCAGTTTTACTTGCTGAGGTTTTCAGTCAATTCTTATTAAATGCACATACACGCACACACACACTCCTTTATAGAACTGATCAGTGTTTCTTAGGTTGTTTTCTCAGGGCATTCTGTTATCCTCTTAAATTTTAGAAAAGAATCCCAGTGGTCATAATGCATGAATTCATGTCTGACTTTATAACTATTTGTATTTGTTAATGAAACTGATGTATACATAGGAAAAATTTTAACCCTATTGAAAATTGTTACTCTTCCCATTGCAGTTGGGTTGCCTATGAAAAGTCTGGATTTACAGGTCATCAGTATTTGCTAGAAGAAGGAGAATACAAGGACTGGAAAGACTGGGGAGGTTACAATGGAGAGCTCCAGTCTTTACGACCTATATTAGGTGTAAGTTAAAGAAAAGCTAATGGCTTAATACTTATTTTTTTGTATAATAAATGGCTAACCTTTGATTTAAAAATTTTTTTTCTCAACAGGATTTTTCAAATGCCCACATGATAATGTACAGTGAAAAAAACTTTGGCTGTAAAGGTTCCAGTATTGATGTATTAGGAATTGTTGCCAATTTAAAGGAGACTGGATATGGAGCAAAGACACAGTCTATTAATGTACTGAGTGGAGTGTAAGTGAAATAACATAAACTGGATTTTAACCATGGGTTTCACCTTGGTGTGTGTTAATTTAATAGGAGTATCTGACACAGAGTAGTCATGCAATAAATAAATATCTCAATAGCTAAACAGTCACTTGATATCTACTGCTATATTCTCACAACTGCTTTTTAAACTCTTTCTCATATAATCTTTTTTGAAGTGTAATATAACATTGGAGTAGGCTATTGGGGTCATGATAGAAATCCGCAGATTTCCTTCCCTAGTCATTCTGCATGGAAGTATCTCAGGAATTTCTTATGATGGGAGTCAAATAATAATAGTAATCTAACACTAGAAACCTGAGATTAGGACAAAGTCTCATTAGATTTTCCTATGGCTCTGCACCCACTCTTGTGTTTTTTTCACTATTATTTTGACATAAAAATAATTATTTCAATATACCTAGAGTTAGCAGTTGAGTGCTTTACTAATGCTAAAGCAAGTTTTTATTGAAACATATGTCAGTCAAGTCTCTTTGGGTTGCAAGTGACTGTAAGCCAACTTAAGTTAAAGTAATACAAATGGAACTTATTGGCTTACATAACTGAAAAGTCCTGGAAAGGATTATTGCCTCAAGCATGGCTGGATATATGGTTGAAACATTGCCCTTAGAACTTGGTCTCTCTTGATTGGGCTTTCCTTTATAGTGGCCTTACTTTTGGCAGGCTCTTTCCATCTGGTGATCTCTGGCAGCATCTGGCTTTGTTTTCCCAACTCACTGCTTCCAGTGAAAAGAGCTTCCTCTTCTTACAAAAAAGTTCCAAGGTTGACTTTGATTCTCTAGGCTTGGGTGAGGTCCACATGCCTGAACCAGTCACTGTAGCCAGGGAGATGACCATGCCTGGGTTATGTGCCCATCCCTGGAGCTGAGTTGAATTCAGCCCCATAGGTGCCATGTAGATGTGTCTGGAAGAGGTGGTTCCCCAGGATCATCAAAAGGAGTGGGGATAATTACAGGATGAGATAAAACCGCAGAGGTCCATTATAGAGAGTTACATTATCGCTTTGTAATCTAAGCTGATGTATGTCTAATTTTTTATTAGTGAGACTATTCTTAGATGGTTATATGAAATCATTTGACATGGGTGCTGTTGAGAATGTATGATGTTAGGTTTCTGATGTCATGAATGATATAGGCTATTTGGATCATTCTGACCTCATCCCTATTGTCTTTCATGAGTCCTCTGCCAGTAACTGGATGTTTAAGACATGTCCACGGTATGATTCTTCTGTTAGTCATGTTCACCAAATTCTTGTGTAGGCTGTTGTATGTGGTGCCATCTTGGCAGAACGACATCAGTGACTTTCGTGTCTTCCATTCTTAGTAGGAAATGCCTCTACTTGTTATGGAGCCCTAACGTCTTAGAATCAGTGTTGGCTGCCCACAAAAATTATGGTATGGCAGAGGCATCTGAAATGTTGTTGTGGTTCTACATTTTGGATTGCCTTTCAAGTTAATTATTTAGAAAAAAATAGTGACCAACTCAGTCTGGTGAAACAATTGTACATTTTATAACTCACCAGGTGTGTTGGCACCATTAGTCAGAGCCCAGTCATCCACCTAGGAGAGGAAACCAAAGGATGCTGGGTAGAGTTCCCTTAGATTATTTATGTAGATTATAGTGTTAGCAAAGATAGAATTAATGTACTCTGAACCTGAGCCAATCCCCTTTCCTTTTCACCCAGCCCTTGCTAACTTGAAATCAGTTTCCTTCATAAACTATTGCTTTCATGTGTTGCTATTTTTAGTCATTTGTAGTTGCATTTCCTGGCTTAGGCTTTTTTCTGGGTGTAGCAGTTGTTGGTGTTGAGGGGAGGAAGTTGAAGGGAGGCGTACGCCTACACACGCACACATACACTTCCTTTTGAATTCTTTATACCCAAGGGTTATGGCTTCTGTGTTTACCAGGGCCAGGTGCTTCTATATATTTCATTCAGGTGGTCATTTGGCAAATATTTACTGAGGTCTATTATGTGCAAAGCATTATATTATATCTTCAAAGAAGTTACAGTATTTATATAAAATGTAATTATTGCTACAAAAGAGGTAGAGATTCAAAGCTTTGGGAATCTACCGCAGTAAGAGATTAATTCCCAATCTGGGCACAAGGAAGAGTTTGTGGAGGAGATGGCACTGGAGTAGGGCCTTGAAAGACAGGAAAGTTTGGATGTGCCAAGAAGAGGAAGAAGACTAGCATATAGTTTCAAATAAAAATTATTTTTATTTTCTTTTAATGACTTTATTCTTGTTGGTAGGTAAGCATTTTTTGTTTGGATCCTTATTTCTAGTGTGGAATTCAACGTCAGAAAAAAAACTTTTGAAATTCTTGTTCTGTGGGAGTCTCCCCCAGTAAGCTCACTATCACATGGCTAGTTCCTTGGCTGCTAATCTTATTATTAAGGGGCCCTGGTGGTGCAGTGGTTAAACTGCTCAGCTGCTAACCAAAAGGTCAGTGGTTTGAACCCACCAACCACTCCACACGAGAAAGATGTGGCAGTCTGCTTCTGTAAAGATTTACAGCCTTGGAAACCCTATGGGGCAGTTCTACTCTGTCCTGTAGGGTCACCGTGAGTCGGAATCAACTCAGTGGCAGTGGGTATGGATAAACTTATTATTAGCTCTGAAACAGAAAACTGCCTTTAGGAAGATGCTCATGAATCCAGCCACTGAGGTTTTAGGAACTGCATTCCATTTCTTATTGGAACATCAAAGGAAATAACCTTTACACAGCCCTGCTCATCATTTTCCAGTTCTATGCTATACTCTTCCGCAAATAGTAGAAACTGGGCTTTTTTTTTTTTTTTAAAAAAAAAAGAAAACTAAGCATACTGAAATATTTTAAAGGTCAGATAAAAAATAAAATTGTTTTAAATTCTTTTTATTTTTTCCTCTCCACACAAGAGCCAGTTTGCTCTGCTGCCTTTAACTTCTGAGCACTTATTCCACCAAGCTGGGGCCTGTTAGTACTTGTACATGTGCCCCAGTCTTGCAAGCAAAGAAGTGTTAATTCATGTGAGCAGAGTATATTTAAACAAAGACAGTGAGGAATTTTCTTCTTAAGGATCCCAAGAATAAGTAGACTGTAGATCGTAGATCGACCAGAGAATCTCTGATCTGTGTTAGGTTTTATTTTTGTTTTTTCCCCCCATAATCATGGATGATTCATCTAGGGCTGAATCTTAGAAGGGAAACAACACTACTGTCAATTCAAGTAATATCTTCATACATTGTTTTTCTGTTTCGGTGAATTAGATAGGCTACCTATGTGTTGGGTATTTACTTACAAGTAATTTATTTTAGTTTTTTAGGAAAATAGAGTACTCATACTTGCTAGTTTAGAAAAAAATAAAGGATTGGATGAAGCTTCTCCTGGGCTTGCTCAGTCATTGCACTCTTTCTTATGCATTCTGTCTCTCCCTCCTCACTGGCTTTTCACCCTCATCGTAGACTTGTCCATGTCTCCATTAACCTTCAAGTCAAACAATCAAACACAAAGACCTTTAAGCAAACTCCATTCTCCTTTGACTTGTTACAGACTCAGAGCCCTGCCAGGAATACTTTTTGTGATACGGCTTAGATTTTCTTGATATACAAATACCCCTCCACACAGAGTGGCACTTCATGCTTCTGTGTTGCTGTTGCTTCACTTGATAACGTGTAACAGGCCAAAGGCAGTGTGAACAGAGGAGCACATATACCCTTGTGCTGCGTAGTCTCACATAAAGTGAGTGCTGTAATCTTGGCTAACCTCCTTATTTATAAACAAAAATGAAATGTCACAAAGGTTAAATGACCTGTTCAAAGTCATCTGAAACTTAACATCACGGACACAGCTAGAACCAGGTCTCTTAACTCTTTACCTTACAATAGTTAAAGAGTAAACCCCAAACCGGTTGTTGTTGAGTCAGAATAGAACTGTGCTCCGTAATGTTTGATCTTTGGAAGTAGATTGCCAGGCCTTTCTTCCCAGGTGCCTCTGGGTAGACTGGAACTCCAGCCTTTTGGTTAGCAGCAGTTTGCGTTAACCATTTGCACCACCCAGGGACTTGGGTTTAAAGAATAGGTTTTAAAAATATGCTAATGAGGATTTGATGGTGAGGGAGGGGCAGTGTTTTCTGAAATACTTAGACCATGCCTGCTGCTTGCAGCCATTTCTCCATTTGGATAGCCAGAAGTGAGTTACAGATATTAGCTGTCACAAGCCACTGATCACTTGAGATTTTTACAATGTTCTTTTTCTCCTTTTCATTTCCTAGTAATGATAGTCTTTGAGTTTTTGTTTTAAATCAAGTCCTTTAGGTAGTAAAATTGTAATCTATCCTAATTATGAAGTGTGTTGGCTGTTTTAGGTGTGGTTTACTAGAACAGTAAGTGAAAGGAAACTTTATAGGGTAAATGGCAGATCACAAAGTGAAGAGAGACTGGGGAGCCTCAGGAGGTGTAGTTCAGTCATGCCCTGCCATTAATTGATTGTGTCACTTTGGGCAAGTCACTTCCCATTCAGAAAAAATATGTGCAAATGATTGCATGTGATGCTTCTTACCCATCTGTGAACTTTCATCTTTTTTTAAAGACATGGTCCTGCTTCCATGGAGCTTACAGTCTGTCCATCTGTGAACTTTTGAGGGCAGGCATTTTGTCTCTTCCTTTGTGTATTCCTAGTGCCAGTCTAGTTCCTGGCACATGGTAAATGACTTATCAATGTTGGTTGGATGAATAAATGAATTCAGAGTTAACTTCCCTGTGTCTTTAGGTTTCTTGTTGAACCCATTGCCGTTGAGTTGATTCTAACTCATAGTGACCTGTAGGACAGAGAAGAACTGCCCCACACGTTTTCAAACGAGTGGCTGGTGGATTCGAACTGCTGACCTTTTGGTTAGCAGCCGAGCTCTTAACCACTGCGCCAGCAGGGCTCTATCTTTAGGTTTACTAGCCTTCAAAATGGGAATACCAGTACCTCTCTAGAAGACTAAATGTGATAATAGATGTGAAAGCATTTTGGAAAGTTTTGAGTACTACAGATATATAGGTATTATGCCTTTAAGCTCTGAGAGGATCACTCCAGCAGTGAATTAACTGAGGAGTAGATACTGAGTATCTCTCCAACCTGACAGAGTTGAAAACGTTTTTTCACTCCAAAGACATTATCTTTGAATAGAACATAGCATCAATAAGATGATTTCTTTGATTTTCCTCTCAGAATTTAGATCACTTAACAGATAAATGAAAACATCCCAAAAGATATTTGTTTTTACTATTTTTGTTAGTTTGTTCAATTTTATTACATAGTTGTGTCATTTTGGAACTTCTGTTTGAAACAAAATTTTAGTTACTTAGATATACTTTTTTTTTTTAGCATTTCTTCTGTTAATTTTTTTTTGGTGTGGTTTGTTGTGTAATAGACACAGCCTCCTTAAGCTCTTTCTGCCAAAATGTTGATAACAAAAAGAATTGCTGTTTGCTTATTAACAGAACTTTTACAGGTTCTTCTTGAAAGCCCATATTGTTTCTTTAGAATAGAATTAGAAATAAATACAAGTAGGTATTCCCATTGGAGCTATTTCTTATCAAATAGGATTTTATAAGCAAGGACATCAAAAGGTTCATGTAAAGATATTTTTTTGCTTACTATTTTGATTTGTCATACATACAGATACGTCTCCTCTTGAAAGATTAGTAGAGAACCAGAAAAATTATTAACGATTACTGATTAGCAAAACAAATAAAAGTTTCTGTATGATACATATTTACCCAAATGTATTTGATAACTTTATTTTACATGTAAAATATGAATTATAACAAGTCAGTGTTTCTATTTCTTTAGATGGGTAGCCTATGAAAATCCTGACTTCACAGGAGAACAGTATATACTGGATAAAGGCCTTTATACCAGTTTTGAGGACTGGGGAGGCAAAAACTGTAAGATCTCTTCCGTTCAGCCCATATGTTTGGTAAGGAGTTATCTTTTTGTATGAGAATATTTAACCGAATTATAGATTTCCTTAATGTATGCTCCTGGTTATGTAATATTGATTGCTATGAAAATATTCTAAGGTTATATATAATAGTAAGTGTTGATGATCTGGAAGAAAAGACTTGTTCAAAATTCTGCTCTACTCATTTCCTTTTCTCTTCCCTTTAAAAATCTTTAGGATTCCTTCACTGGCCCAAGGAGACGAAATCAGGTAACTTAAAAAAAATTCTATTTTCTGTAATTAGGGGACTTCCATTTAAAAACCTAACTTATATATAAAATGTCAGATATTTGGGATATTTTGTTACTTTTACCCACCTTAGTGCATGAAAGCATAATTATATTTTTTAAAATAGGGTTTAAGTTTATTTTAAACTTCATCGATAGCATTCTGACCTATGTCTAAATATTTTTTATGAAATGCTGTCATTATGTAAAGCTGAATTTTATCTTTACATTGAATCAGAGTTTACGTTAATACACTAATATTTCACACAATAGCATATGTAGCCATTGTGTTAAATAGTATAATGAATTTTCATATTTGCTGTGTCTGCATTGATACACGTTTTTATGTGGTCTCTCACTCAACCCTTTTGAATGCTGACTCTCCACATCAACTAAAGTGTTACAGATGTTATTTAGACTTTTTAATGGAAGTATTCAGACAGCCATAATTATACAGGCACAAACACCACTGTAGCCTCCTCTGCATCCAATAAAGATTCCAATAAGTCAGCAAGTATCTTCCATTGAAAGGGAGAAAAACTATGCTACATGTTTCCAAAATATAGTTTATTGTTAATGATGGACAATTACTTTTGGCCACAACAAAGCTTTAAAATGCTCACCTATTATTAGAACATGGTGTTCTATAGAAAGCTGTGTTTTCTATTGTTGGCTTGTCCTTTGATGTCTCTGAATTAACAGTCATGAATGGCATAGCCAATGTGTTTCTAGTTGGTCATTAGCATATAAATAGAAAATTAAAGGATTTTTAAAAGTCACAACAGTTTACTGTAACAAGAGTTGACAGGTCATGTTCGGGGCATCGTTTCAAAGTCTGAAGGAGTTAATGTGTTTAGGAAAATAATTGCATGTGTTTCTGTTTACTTTTTCAAAGATTCACTTGTTTCCAGAACCACAGTTTCAAGGTTGCAGCCAAAGTTTTGAGGAAACAACAAATCAAATTGATGATTTATTTTCTGCAAAGTCTTGTAGAGTTTTAGGAGGCAGGTAAGTGACTGGCAGAGCCTACTCACTGGGGGAAAATAGAATACACACATCAGCAAGTGTTCAGCAGCACCTGTTAGGAGCTTAACACTGTATGAAGCTACCAGATAATATGAGACCACCTTAGTACTAAAGTATGTTTTGCAGTATCTAGTGCTGGACGTCAGAGGACACGGAGATCAGTGTGGGTTTGAGAAGTTGAAGATCACCTCTTGTATAATAGGAGTCACACCAGGTTCTAGTTTTACTACTCACTAGCTGTCCCATTTTGATCACTTTACTCTCTGGGCCTATTCCATAATCTGTAAAGAAAGAGATGGACTCTAGATAATCTCTATGGCACCTGCCAAAGTAGATTTTTTTCTAGGTAGATAGCAGCAGGATAACATTCTGGATGACAGGCAAATGAAGAAAAGTGCATGGCTGGAGTGGACCTGGTACGTTTGCTGAGCAGGGAGCATACCGGCCTCCCCTAGCTGGGGGTCTTTGTACTGGGTAAAGGGGAAGCAAGTTTGGGCAGGGAGGGTGGGATCAGGTTGTGAAGACCCCTCTTGAACATAAGAGTTTAGCTGGATGCTATAGGAAACACAAGATGGGAAAGGCAGCGAGCTCCAAGTGCCATGCTGGAAACAGCAGTTTTAAATAAGCTCGATTAGAGGTCAGGGGAACTTGGGAAACCACTGGAGCAATCTGTGCAGACATGATGAGGAATTAAATCCAATAATAATAATAGCAGTAATAATAATGCCTTTAATCATGTAGCTCTTTATGGTCTAAATAGCTCAATCACATGTCATTTAGCTTTGTGCTCAAACACATAAATTTACAGAAGGCTTCACTGTTAGCACATAACTCCACCCCAACCCAGTTCCTCTTTATTCCTCCCTCACCTGCTTCCGTTATCACCACCAGCCTGTACTTTTGTTGTTGTTGTTTATTTATTGTCTATCTCACTTCATGAGAACGTAAACTTCAAGACGGCAAGAAGTTTGCTTTGTTCTCTATTCTCAGCAGTGGAAAAGTCCCTGACACACAATTGTCGTTGTTGTTAGTTGCCATAAAAAGTTGATTCTGATTCATGGTGACCCCATGTAGAACTGAGCCCCATAGTGTTTTCTTGGCTGTAATCTTAACAGAAGCAGATTGCTAGGCCTATCTTCTGCAATATTGCTGGGTGGGTTCAAACCTTTAGGTTAACAGTCGAGTGCAAACCATTTGCGCCGCCCAGGGACCTTGACGCACAATTGTTGTTAGTTGCCGGCGAGTTGATTCCGACTCATGTTGACCCCATACGTGCAGAGCAGACTGACCTTTCAGAAGCAGATTACCAAGGCTGTCTTCTGAGGCACCTCTGGATGGGTTTGAACCACCAACCTTTCAGCTAGTAGCTGAACACTTAACCATTTGTACCACCCAGGGACTCCTTTGACACAATTAGTCCTCAATAAATATTTTTTGGATTAAAATGAAACAAAACAAAAACTCTTCTAGGGAAGCATGGTAAATTATCATCATTTTATCAAAAATGCTAAGGCCCAGAGAGGCTGATTTAACTCAGTCACTCTGGAATTTTGACTTGGGGCCCAAGGTAGAGGCATTGGAAATGAGGGCAAAAGATAAGTGTGACAAAAAAAAAAAAAAAAGACCAGATTTACTGGCCTAAAGGAGACTGGAGAAACCCTGAGAGTATGGCCCCCAGACACCCTTTTAGCTCAGTGGTAAAGTTACCTTCAAGGTTCACTGATCAGCCTGAGAGTGGACAGCCCAGTAAAACCATGAGAGTAACGAGGTACAGGAGTCCAGTGACAAGGCCCAGAAGGCAGAAGGGGAGTAGGAAGCTGATGATAGGGAACACAAAGTAGAGTAAGGATATTGTTGATGTGTTGTGAGATTGTTAACCATTGTCATAGGGCAACATTTGTAGTAACTGTTAAATGGGAGACTAGTTTGTCCTGTAAGCCTTCATCTTAAGTGAGAATAACAGCACAATTAGAAGAGCGTAGTCAACGTCACTTAAATGTGTATGTAAAAAAAAAATTTTTGAAATGGCGTATCTTTGGCTATGTGTATTTTCACAAAAGAAAAAAAAACAAAGTTGAGAATTTAGAGGGTTAAAATGTTGTGGGGTTGTTAACCAATGTCATAAAACAGCATATGTGTTAGTTACATGAGAAACTATCTGTTCTGTAAGCCTTCACCTGAAGTACAATAAAATATTTAAAAAAAAAAAAAAAAAGATAAGTGTGAGAGAAATTTTGAGAGGAAATCAGTAGGCCTTGGTGGCTGACCCTCAGAGAGGACTCAATGTTTGAAGCTACATGGGCCGGGAGAATGGTGGCACCCATGAGGGGAGCAAGGAAGGCTGGAATATGGAGAACTCAAAATATGGATAATTTCAAGGAAAAAGAAGTTTTATTTCCCAAATGCAAAGTTAACAACTGACCTGTTATGAATATTTGTCATGAGATGAAATGCAGTAAATAGATCTAGATATTTTTGAAGAAAGAACTCTGTTAGACACAAGTATAGTGTTTTATAGCAGGCTGCCTCTAAACATCAGTCTTCTTGAGTAGAAATATTCCAATTGCATGTGTGTGGTTTTTCCTGTTGTAGCTGGGTTGCATATGATGGAGAAAACTTCTCTGGTAATCAGTATGTGCTGGAAGAAGGCCACTATCCTTGTCTGTCTGCAATGGGATGTCCTCCTGGAACAACTTTCAAGTCTCTTCGGTTTATAGATGCTGTGAGTATATCAGCATGACTGTGGTGATATATAGCCCTGGTGGTGCAGTGCTTAAGAACTACAGCTGCTAACCAAAAGTTTGGCAGTTCGAATCCACCAGCTGCTCCTTGGAAACCCTATTGGGCAGTTCTACTCTGTCCTATAGGGTCGCTATGAGTCAGAATTGACTAGATAGCAATGATTTGGTTTATAGCGACACAGAAATGTATGGTTCACATTGCTCATCGACAGAGCAAGGAAACAAGCAGGCGGCACTTTCCCAGGGCTTAAGTCTGAAGCAGTAGACTTTCCATCACATAACTTTGGTTTCTGTTTTAGATCTTTAACATATAAATTATTTCTATTCGCTTGTTTTCTCAGGCTTCAGGTGCAGAGCGTTGGTTATGGTGCGCAGTCATCATGGGTTACTTCAAAGCCCCTCTCACGTTGGTCTGTGTTTTCCTACTTCATGCTTGATCCCTATTTCCGTTCTTTTTTTTATTTTAATAACATTTTATTGTGTTTTTGGTCAAAGTTTACACAGCACGTTAGGTTCCCCTTTGACAATTTCTGCACAAATTGATCAATGACATTAGTTACATTTTTTACACTGTTGTATATATAGGCTTTTAATTAATACAGACAGTATTATGCTGTAGTTCTCATTGTTATAAAACATAACTCAATACTTACATTTAAAAAAATTAAGAGCTACCCATTTTTTTGTATGTACATCTAGTTTATTGATTCCAGCTGTTGCAAGTATTCCATCACCATATTTTACTTGTATACTCCTCATATGTGGGAGGCTGTTGCGGGTATATATTAAAGAGTGGAACTGCTGGAGCTTGTGTATGAATATGCAGTTTCACTAAGTACTGCCAAATTCCGCCACTCCCACTGGCAATGCAGAACAGGTTTCCATTCCCACATCATTACCATTACTGATATTCTCTGACTTTCTAATTTTTGTCAATTTGATAGAATGGGGAGACATTATTGTTTCACTGTTGTGTTAATTTGTGTTTTTTTCTCACTATTAGGGTGGCTGGAATCTCATATACTTATTAGCCATTTGGATTTTCTGTTTGGTCAGTTACCTAGTTATAACTTTTGCCCAATTCTCTATTCGGTTTTCTGTTTCTTTTTTTTTGTTGATTTGCAGAAATTCCTTATAGCTTTTCAATCTACTATTACTCTGTTGTTGTAGAGATTTGCAATCAAATGACTTCTCCCAATTTATCACCCATGTGCTAACCTAGATTATAGTGCATCTTTTTTCTTTTTTTTTTTTAACGGAAATTCTTAGTTTTGATGTGGTCAAAGCAATTTACAATAGAACAAAACTGCAATACAGTGTTCAGATGTTAAAGCTGGGTGTGCCTTTGGTTTTGGGAATTTTTAGCTTTTGGTAGCTGATCTCTCATAAAAAGCTTTAAATATTTGTAGTTGTTGATTTTAGTTTTAAAGGTAGGAAAAACATTTGAGTTGCTTTTATCTCATTCCGTCCTGCCTGTTTGAATAACTAAAATGTTCATCTTTCTTGACATGTGAAAATAGCAGTGAAATATGGAATGATGTGGTGAGATTCATTAGCTTACAAGTAATGAAATAACTAACACTTTGATATTTAACCTGACTAGAATTCTAAAAGCTACCTACAAGTATATATTTGGGGGGGTGGGGAACTTCAGATATAAAGTTTCCAAATGCCTTCCCTCAACCAGAACTTGGAATATATGTTCATATCACTTCTGATGTCCTTTTAAGTTTTGATTATTAAGAATATATATATTTTAATTGTGGTCTAATACTTCAAAATTATTTGATTTTTGATATTTGACTGTTTAGAACATTTTTGAAATGTCATGCCCATAAAGCGTAAAATACTCCTACTACTACTACAGTTTTTATCTTGTTTCCTTCTTGTATGTTTTTTCTTGCATGGTGTCCGTCTTGTCTGTTTTGTATAACCTAGTTCTTTGACCATACAAACCACCTCTATACACTAATCTGCTTTGTTTATAATCTAAAACATCTTTTCTACATGTCAGGGCACATCCACGTAACTGAAGCAGCAAGGGGCCACACCCTTGCCACAGAACTTTTAAGCAGGTGGGGAAACAATGGTAATCCCCAGGTGCTTTTTTGATGTATCATTTATGATCTTAGGAATTTATCATTAGAGCTTAGTATAGGATCACAAGGATCTGTAATTTGAAAAAAAACATGCATAAGCAGCCAACTTTTCATTTTTCTGATAATCAGTGGACTTCTCTGTTATTGTCTTTTTTAGAATGATTAACCATGTAAACATGGGATTTCCATCCTGATTTTTTCTCCTCTCCTGTTAATAGTTCCTACAGGACAGTTTGGGAGCATGACACACAGAATCACTGTCTTATTGACAAAACAGTAGGAAAAAAAGAAGACATTTGAAAATACAGACAAGGGGAAGTTTCCTTGATTAGGAAATACCACACCACCACCAAACACCAGACTGCCATGGCCCTTTGACTCTTGCCATTTATGCCCATGGCTGTACAGCCCCTCCTTGTCCCAATGGAAAATGGCTAAGTTGGGTATAAACTCCATTAGAAGTGTTGATACTCCAGGCATGTACCTATTCCTTTGTGTTTGGTGTCTTTTTTTTCTTTTCCTGTTTTATAACACTGTTTACATTTACTTACCGTTCTACAAAATGGAAAAACTTCCCCCTTCTACATCCTTCCTCTTTTAGTTTTTTTTTTTTCTTTAGGTTTGGAGTATATAAACATCCAGACTTTCTGGGAAAGGGAGTTTATGACCAAGCCAAATCCGACCAGATCTTGTGCTTTGTACTTGTAACAAGATGATTTTCACATAGCTTCCAATTATTATCAAAGATAGATAACAAATATTATTTTTGCTCCTAAATAGGAATTTTCAGAACCAACAATTATTCTTTTTGAAAGAGAAGACTTCAAAGGGAAAAGGGTTGAACTTAATGCAGAAACAATTAACCTCCGATTCCTAGGATTCAACACGCAGATCCGCTCTGTTCAGGTTATTGGTGGCATGTGAGTTACCTACTTGTTTATTTAATAAAGTGGTTAATTTTAAAAGTTGGGTTCGATTAGATTTCTTTCTTTTATATTACCTTAAACTAATTGACATATAACCTCTTGTTTTTCTGTAAGCTTTGTGATTTTGTAGTACACTTTTCTCACTGGAAAAGCCTTGTGTAAGGTATCTTTCATCTTTTTATTAAGATTTTTACTTTCTTTAAGGTAAGGACTTTGTCTTTAATATCTCATAGGCCCTAGGGGAATACTTTGCACATGTGTGATCAGCAGATTTATTAAACACTCTTTTTTTAGCAAGTTTAAGAGAGAATTTTCTGTTTGTCAAGAAATGGATGCTTTAAGTGTTTAAGAAAATAGTTTCATTTTTTTACAAATGTATATTTAAAGTATAAAGCTCAGTCTAGAAAGTAGGAGCATTCTAAAAATAAATATAATTAGGCCTATTGTCAAAGGAAATTCCACTTACTGTGGATATCTATGTTTTTCTTTCAGATGGGTTGCTTATGAATATAGCAATTATAGGGGTCGACAATTTCTACTGTCACCAGCAGAAATACCTAATTGGTATGAATTCAGTGGCTGCCGCCAAATAGGTTCTCTACGACCTTTCGCTCAGGTATTTTTTCTTCTCCATAGTTTGAAAATACTCCTCTCTGAAGTTTTTTTTTTTTTTCTTTTTTGTAAATGCAATTCAACTTTTCAGTTTCAAATTTAAGTTCTCCCCATTCCCCCTGAATTTGGGCTGTTTCTGGTGCTTAGTGGCTGTGGCTGCTTCAGAAATGCTATCACATCCAACATCAAAACATGGCGTGTTCCCAAGCCCTGGGCTGTCTACAGGTGTGCTCCCTGCCCCAGGCACTTCTTGACAATTTGGTCAAACTCTTCTCTTTGAGAAAATGGTAAAATCTCTGAGACTCTTGGGTATAGTAGTTATCCCTAATGTTCACCCCACCTTGGATTTTACTCCTGATATTGATGCTTGCTCAGTGATTCTAACATTTAACTATTAACTACTGCTGGGGTTTTTGTCTTCTAGAAACGGATTTACTTCAGACTTCGAAACAAAGCAACAGGGTTATTCATGTCAACCAATGGAAACTTAGAGGATTTGAAGCTTCTTAGAATACAGGTCATGGAGGATGTTGGTGCTGATGATCAGATATGGATCTATCAAGAAGGATGCATCAAATGCAGGGTGAGCTTTTTAGGATTAGACAGCGGTCTATATAATCCCTCTGCTAGCAGGCGATGCATACTTTAACTTGCCTTTGATCTTTCTTTCTTGAAGTAGATGCTATTTCATGATTCCTGGAGCACTTTCAGAATTTGAATTTTGTTTCATGAAAATATTTCTTAGCTCTGATAGAACCAGTTTGTTGTTGCTGTTAGGTGCCATTGAGTTGGTTCTGACTCGTAGTGACCCTATGTACAACAGAATGAAACACAGCCCCACCCCATTCTTTCCTCACAATGGTTGTTATGTTTCAGCCCATTGCTGCAGCCACTGTAGCAATCCGTTTTGTTGAGGGTCTTCCTCTTTTTCAGTTTTCCAAGCATGATGTCCTTTTCCAGGACTGCTCCCTCCTGATAACGTGTCCAAAGTACAGGAGACGAAGTCTCGCCATCCTTGCTTCTAAGGAGCATTCTGGCCATACTTCTTCCATGACAGATTTGTTCCTTCTTCTGGCAGTCCATGGTATATTGAATAATCTTCACCAACACAATTCAAAGGCTTCAATTCTTCTTTGGTCTTCCTTATTCATTGCCCAGCTTTCACATGCATATGAGGCTATTGAAAACACCATGGCTTGTGTCAGGGGCATCTTAGTCCTTAAAGTGACATCTTTGCTTTTCAACCCTTTAAAGAGGTTTCTTTGCAGCAGATTTGCCCAGTGCAACACGTCATTTGATTTCTTGACTGCTGCTTCCATGGGCATTGATTGTGGATCCGAGTGAAATGAAATCCTTGACAACTTCAATATTTTCTCTATTTGTCATGATGGTGCTTATTGGTCCAGCTGTGAGAATTTTTGTTTTCTTTATGTTGAGGTGTAATCCATACTGAAGGCTGTAGTCTTAAACTTCATCAGTAAGTGCTTCAAGTCCTCTTCGCTCTCAGCAAGCAAGGTTGTGTCATCTGCATATCACAGGTTGTTAATGAGTCTTCCTCCAATCCTGATGCCACATTCTTCTTCATATACTCCAGCTTCTCGGATTATTTGCTCAGCATACAGATTGAATAAGTATGATGAAAGGATACAACCCTGATGCACACCTTTCCTGATTTTAAACCACGCAGTAACCCCTTGGTCTGTTCGAACAACTGCCTCTTGGTCTATGTACAGGTTCCTCATGAGCACAATTAAGTGTTCTAGAATTCCTATTCTTTGCAATGTAATCCATAATTTGTTATGATCCACACAGTCCAATGTATTTGCATAATCAATAAAACATGGGTAAACCTCTTTCTGGGATTCTCTGATTTTAGCCAAGATCTATCTGACATCAGCAATGATATTCCTTGTTCCATGTCCTCTTCTGAATCTGACTTGAATTTCTGGCAGTTCCTTGTCAATACACTGCTGCAACCATTTTTGAATGATCTTTAGCAAAATTTTACTTGCCTGTGATATTAATGATATTGTTCAATAATTTCTGCATTCTGTTGGATCACTTTCTTTGGGATGGGCACGTATATGGACCTCTTTCAGTCAGTTGGCCAGGTAGCTGCCTTCCAAATTTCTTGGCATGGACGAGTGAGCACTTCCAGCGATGCCTCTGTGTGTTGAAACATCTCAGTTGGTATTCCGTTGATTCCTGGAGCCTTGCTTTTCACCAACACCTTCGCTACAGCTTGGACTTCTTCCTTCAATGCCGTCGGTTCTTAATCATATGCTACCTCCTGAAATGGTTGAATGTCAACCAATTCTTTTTGGTACAGTGACTGTGTATATTCCTTCCATCTTCTTTTGATGTTTCCTGCATTGTTCAATATTTTATCCATAGAATCCTTCAGTATTACAACTCGAGGCTTGAATATTTTTCTTTAGTTCTTTCAGCTTGAGAAATGCCGAGCGTGTTCTTCCCTTTTGGTTTTCTCACTTCAGGTCTTTACACATTTCATTATAATACTATTTTACTTTGTCTTCTTGAGCTACCCTTTGAAATCTTCTGTTCAGCTCTTTTATGTGATCATTTCTTCCTTTTGCTTTAGCTACTCTACATTCAAGAGTGAGTTTCAGGGTCTCTTCTGACATCCATTTTGGTCTTTTCTGTCTGTTTAATGACCTTTTGCTTTCTTCATGTATGATGTCCTTGATATCATTCACAACTCTTCTGGTCTTCGTTCATTAGTGTTCAATGTGTCAAATCTATTCTTGAGATGGTCTCTAAATTAAGACGGGATATATGCAAGGTTGTACTTTGGCTCTTATGGACTTGTTTTAATTTTCTTCAGCTTCAGTTTGAACTTGCTTATGAGCAGTTGATGGTCTGTTCCACAGCTGGCCCATGGCCTTGTTCTGACTGATGATATTGAGCTTCTCCATTGTCTCTTTCCACCAGTGTAGTCAATTTGATTCTTGTGTATTCCATCCAATGAGGTCCCCATGTATAGTCACTGTTTTTTCAGAAGTAGACCGCCAGCTCCATCTTCCTAGTCTGTCTTAGTCTGAAAGCTCTAATAAAACCTGTCCACCATGGGAGATCCTGCTGATATTTGAAATACCGGTGGCATAGCCTCCAGCATCACAGCAACACGCAAGCCACCACAGTACGACAAACTGATAGATGAGTGGTGGAGAACCAGTTTAGGAACTTAAAATGGGACAGAAATCTAGCAGTTATCCAAAATATTTATATCTATACTTGACTCTTATATGGTAATAGAAATGGAAGTGTCTGGGTTACTCTCCACTTTTCAATAATCTGTTTGTTATAGAAATAAAGTATAAACTCCAGCACTATCAACAAAAATCACTCTTGGTTTATTTCCATTTTGGAGAACCTCACAGAGCAGGATTAAGGCTAAAGAGATGTCATTGTGTACAACATAATTCATTTTCTAATTGTCACACTTTGCACAATGCAGATGGCCCTACTACTTCTTACATCACTCCTGCCATAATACTATTTAAAAACCTGAATGTAGTAATATTTTGAAAGAAGCTTATGCTTCTGTTGTAGATATTCTTTTTTACTCCTTGATTTTATGAGCTTGACTGTTTGCTCCTGAATTTTTGTTAAACTTGCCCCATGAGTCAGCAGAGGGCATACATCTTGTGAAAGGGAACACAACTTGTTAACTGGGTCTCTTGTGCTTGAGGGAGAATCATCCTTTCAGTAAAGAGAAGTCCTGTTCTGACGTGCATAGCAGAAATAGCACGAAAACAGAAGTAGCTGTAATATAGAAGCATAAAAAGAAAATGCCAACTTCTACCTTTGAATTATCTTAAACAATTGAAGAAAATGGTGCCTTTCAGCAGTTATTTCTCACACGCATTTCATTGAAGCCATTTAACAACTTTGAATTCAGTAGGTCAATAAGAAAATGTAAAGCATCCTAGATTATCAGAATCCTTTAATTTCAATAGAGTGGTATGCTTTTATTAAGTATTTTTTATAGCAGTATGTGTTAGGGTCATGTGAACATATGACTACCATACATTGTTTATATATTAAGGGTAGATTCACTGCAGAGAAGGACTCATGAAACCTTTGCATTAAGCCACCCTCTAGTGATTTGTATTTTCTTCTTCCTCTTTGTATAGTTTCACAGCATGCCTTTTTAAAAAAGTGTAGACTTTGTTCATGAAGGAAAGACAAGAGAAGTAAATAAATGCAATTTCACATTTTATGTGGAAAAAATACTTTTTTAGCCACTCTCGTGCTACAACAGCCTTCAGCATTAGAGGCACAGTCATCATATGCTGGAGGGGGCAGCATGAGCAGAGGTGGATATGTGGGGAGATTTCATTACACATCCGGCCTCAGATCACAGTTACTTCTGAGAGGGAAAAGTACCATTATGGGCAGCTTTCATATTCTGAAGCTTCCCATACTAGTCAGACAGTCTCACAAAGGGCAGATGTTTCTTATGATGGACAAGAACAGAGAATGTTCTCTCCACTCAAGTTATCTGAAATAAGGGGCATAAATATCTGTTGTCTGATCCCAGCTACCTTGGCTAAAAGTTGAAATGCCTCATGGGGGGTAAATGAAGCTAGGAAGTAAGGTAATTTTTTAAAAAATCAATTTAAACTGGGAAATAATTGCTATGAGTTCTAAATGTGTTTCCATTTCTAAGATGTACTGTCTTTTCCACTATGCAGATAGCCGAAGACTGCTGCCTGACGATCGTGGGCAGCCTGGTCACATCCGGCTCTAAGCTGGGCCTGGCCCTTCACCAGAATGTCGATAGCCAGTTCTGGAGCATGAAGTCGGATGGCAGGATCTATAGCAGGTTGAAGCCAAATTTAGTTTTAGATGTCAAAGGTAAGGATCATGTATTTTCTTTATTGTAACGTGTTTTCTTTATTCAACTAAAAATACATTCTTAGCTTTTGAAAATGATGAGTATAGTATTATTAGTAATAGAGCCCTTGCTATGTGCCAGGCACTCACTGTGCTAAGCACCTTACGTACATTATTTCATGTGATCTTCATAGCAGCCCTAATTGGTGAGTGTTATCTCCCTACCCCCATTTTATAGCCAAAGAAACTGAGGCTCAGAGGGGTCAATCAATTTGGCCATGATCTCACACCCATAAGGGCTGAGCTGGACTCTGACTTCACACCATTTATTATAACAGTGTTAGACTAAAAATCACCACCTAAGAGCTTGTAATTTCAGTCAGGATAGTTGATGATTCTCATGTACGTACATGTAACATTTTATTGCAAAGATCTAAAAGGCAGTTGCTTACAGTGTTATTCCTTAAAACAAACAACACAGCCAGGAGGATTTCAAGTGAACCTGTGTTCAAAACCGGTTAATCCAGAGCCAAGCTGGTGGTGCCTGGGGAAGAACAAATAAATTTAGGCCAAACCAAACCCATTGCTGTCCAGTTGATTCTGACTCATAGTGACCCTATAGGAAAGAACAGAACTGCTTCATAGGGTTTCCCAGGCAGTAAATCTTTACAGAAGCAGACTGCCACGTTGTTCTCCTGTGGAGTGGCTAGCAGGTTCAAACCTTCTATCTTTCAGCCGAGCACTTTAACCACTGTTCCACCAGGGCACCCTAAATTTAGACCAGTGGTCCTCAAACTTTATCTGCATCAGAATCACCTGGAGGGTTTGCTAAATCACAGATTACTGGGCCTCATCCTCTCTGATTCAATAGGTCTGGAGTAGAGCCTGACAATTTGCATTTCTAACAAGTTCCCAGGTGATGCTGATGCCACTGGTCTGGGGACTCCACATGGAGAATCACTGATAATAATTTTAAAACAACATAAAAGAAAAACAAAAAAACCTGACCTAGTCTAGACATGGGAATTCAGTGAACTACTATTGCTGCTGGCAAGCAGATGAAGATAGTGTGTTTTATTCATGTTAACCGGGGTAATTTTGCTTTAAATTATTAATGGGGACTTTTCTATTCCCTCTCAAGAAAGCCAGCATGATTATGTTTTATCAGTTTAGTGAAACATTGATAATGTAACCCATACTAGGCCACATACTTCATTTTCAATCATCGCTAGAAGTTGGCTTAGTTTTAACCAGGGCTCTAAGCCAGTGCCAGGGCCCTGGTGGCGTGATGGTTAAGCATTTGGCTGCTAACCAAAAGGTCAGCAGTTCGAATCCACCAGCCACTCCTTGGAAACCCTATAGGGCAGTTCTACTCTGTCCTACAGGGTCTCTATGAGTCAGAATCAACTCAACAGCAACGAGTCACAGGTCAGGCCAGTGCCATTCTTAACTAAAAAATTAAGATGTAGGAGTAAAGAAACAGCGGTAATCTGGTTTTAAAAGAACCTTCTGGATAATGGAGAATAAGCCTGAACATTTTTCATCAGGGGTTTGGTAACTGAATGAATGGGGAGCAGAAGTGGCTGAGTCACTTCTGGATGATCTCCAGGTGGGCTGAGTTGCCAATCTGTTTAACAATTGGATTAGAATTCACAAAGGCCGTGAGAAGTTGGAAAGGTGCTGGGAGGCAAACAGATTAAATTTAATGAAGGCAAAGGCAGAGTACTATGTTTGGGGCACACAAACTAAGCTATGTAACTATAGGTTGAGTGGAGACCAAAAATCATACATTGTATAAAAAGCAAGTAGGACCCTTGGAAAAAGAAAATAATTGCAACCTTCAGAAAATGAATGGTAATATATAGCATACCTCTTTCACATTACCTTTGGTACAACAGATTTGCTATTATACAGTTATAATATGCCCATTTTACAGATAATCAACCTGAGGTTCAAACTGGTTTAAGAATCATTCCACCAGACATTTCTTTATTGTTGTTTTAATCAACTTTGTTGAACTGGGGCTCTTCATTCTATATAGAGTTTCAGAAACCTCTGGAGAAGCCAAAGAAATGTAACTGAGCTGGGAAAATGGAGTTTATGATGAAATGTTAGAAAATTTAGGCTATTTAGTCCCAAAAGAAGGCTGAACAAACCAGTGGGTTCATGGTTTTTACAAATGAGATCAGCTTCCTGTGTCCAGGGTTTAGGTCATTGTAATCCTTATGAGCTAGTCTCTTGGGTAGCGCATTTCTTCTTTTTTTCTTTCACCAAGTATTCATTGGGTACCCACTATGTGGCAGGCTCTGTGCTAGACACTGGAGGCACCAAAGTGAACAAAATGGATACCTCTTGGCTTCACAGAATTTACACTCTAGAAGCTCCAAGAATATAGGATTTTTTTCTCATTTGCTACATTAGCAAAGGAACAGGAGTAAGGACACCTGGCTTCTAGTCTTGGCTCTGGTGTGAACTGTGAGATTCTAGGAGATAACTCCTTAGGGCTTAACTTGAAAACTCTAAGGCCCCTTCCTAAAATGTATTATAAATTAGTTGAGTGCCTCTTAAGTAAAGATGATAGCCTACTGGTAGCTAGCATGGTAGCACTAACGTAGTGCCTTGAGTGGATTCAACTCATAGCAACCCTATACTACAGGGTAGAAGTGCCCCATGGAGTTTCCAAAGCGGTAATTCTTTACAGAAGCAGATTGTCACGTCTTTCTCCCATGGAGCAGCTGGTGGGTTCGAACAACCAACCTTTCAGATAGCTGACAAGCACTTAACCACTGCACCACCAGGGCTTCTTGGTGGCTCCTATAATTAATTCCTTTTAAGCTGAATTTGTCTCAGAATGTAGGAGAATGATGCCATCTAGTGGACATGGGAGAGTAGGACTACATACTCTACAAACTGCAGGGGAAGGTATACTTACTAGGAGACTCTGATTTTCATTAGGTACAGCTGTTGAACTATTCATTCCCTATTAGAATTGCTATAAGATTTATTACAACAAGTGTCTTTCTTCTAACCTATCTCCCAGTGTTTGAGGAATGAGTTGCTTTGATAGACAGTCACATATTATTCCTTTACCAGACTACATTATGACAACAGTGGAGGCTGATACATGCCAATTAAAAAAACAAAAACAGAAGTCTGGGATGATTTGAATTCTTCCCAGAGGCAGAAGGATGAATTAAATTATTTCTCAAGAACTTTCTAGTCTTCATGACTCTTTAAAATTTATGACATAATATACACAAAAACTAGGGCTTTGAACCGGTTCTAAGCACTTAGTCATAGACAACAAAAAACTAATGTTAAGATACTATAATCCTGAAGAATGAAAAAAAAACATTGTGACCTTAAAATAATACTTTCTGAAATCTCAGTGGAGTACTGTGTGCGTGTGTGCGTGCGTGCGTGCGTGCGTGCGTGCGTGTGTGTGTGTAGTGGGATTAGGGGGCAGTACTGGTGGTAGCAATTTTTTTCCACTGCAAACTGATACATACAAGGCATAAGGCACCTTGCCATTACATTATATATGACATATCTAGCTGTGTGGAGGCTCTAGATTATTAGTGATGATAAACTCATTTATTACAAGAGGAGTATAAAAGATTTTCCTTCAGCTACCCAGATCTATTGTGTAGGTTTTCTGAACTTTCTGATTTTTCATAAATGCTTGTAAGGAGAATAGTTATTTCTTCTTGACCTTAGGGCAAACCATGATTTCAATACTAGTCACACTTACCCTCCATCTGGATACAGATTTTTATTGTGACAGGGGCTTTGGTGATATAATATTGGCGCAGAGACATGCTAAAAAAAAGGATAAGGTACATGAAAGGATGTTTATTCCACACTGGGAAAACATCGGATAACCCTTTTCTTTTGATAATGATACTTCTCCATTGAAAGAAGAAGCTATGGGGCTATTTTTAGCATTAAAATACTTTAAATATCCAGTAAGCGCCCTTGGAAAATTTTCTTACAAACATTCTGGCGAACGGGAATTTGTGGAGATCATGTTACTAGTTTTACAGTACAGTATAACTCGGCAGCTTAATGGCTGTGAATTTTTACACACCAAAGCCTGGGAGTTCCCAGCAGTGGCACTGTTACCTTGTCCATTTCAAATATCCCCTTTGATCTAACATAGCTGTTCTTCATTGCTTGTTTGTTCTAAAAATAATTTTTTGTTGTTGTTGTTGAAAATATACACAGCAAAACACACCAATTCAACAATTTCTACATGCACAGTTCAGTGACATTGATTACATTCTTCAACTTGTGCAACCATTCTCACCCTCCTTTTCCAAATTATTCCTCCACCATTAACATATACCCACTGCCCCCTAAGCTTCCTCTCTAACCTTCAGAGTTGCTATTGTCAGTCTGATCCCATATATACAGTTCTTTAAAAGAGCACAATGCTCAAGGCAGACATTCTTTACTAATTAAGCTAAATGACAGTTTAAAGAAGACTTCAGGGGATATTTTTGGTTTCAGGTTTAAAGATTATCTCAGGGCAATATTTTCGGGGGTTCATCCAGCTTCAATGGCTCCAGAAAGTCTAGATTCCATGAAAATTTGAAATTCTATTCTGCATTTTCCCCCTTTTGATCAGGATTCTTCTACAGAATCTCTGATCAAAATGTTCAGTAATAGTAGCCGGGCACCATCCAGTCCATTCTTCATTGTTCATGCCAAAAAATATTCCTCCTAAAAACCATACACAATCATCCCCAACCAGGTTTGCCTGCTTCTTCCTCCCTAGTAGTTCAAATCCATGATCTCACCACTGAATATACTGTACAATCTCTTTGCTCCTTTTCCCTTCTCTAGATTTTTTTTTTTTCCTGTTTCCCCCAATTTCAGACATCTTAAGTGTGATTATGGACTAGATTTTAAGAATGTAATAGAAAAAGGAGCCCTGTGATGTAGGATATCCTGTGTGAAGTTGCTAGTGCCTGTATGATGGGGTATTAGAATAACCTGTAGCAGAATGGCCCTTTCATCCTATGAGCGTGTTTAGGGCTTTCCTCCCTGTTTTGCTCCCTTGAGAAAGTATTTTTATACCCTGTATACTCGTTATATTGGAATTGTGAGTTTTTTTTTTTTCTTTCTTTCAGGGGGTACACAGTATGATCAAAATCACATTATCCTCAACACTGTCAGCAAAGAGAAGTTAACACAAGTGTGGGAAGCCTTGGTCCTGTAAAACCTGAATAAACAGTGCAACACCACTCTTTCCGGGGGGTCCTTCCAGACACATTTTTTAAGAAAAGAGGCCATGCTGATGGAAAAGCCAAGAGGAAAGATTGAGCTACGCCTTCTTCAATAATTCTAAATGCAATCTTGAATCACACTATGACCACGGGAAGTGTCTCATCTTTTTAAAAAACTGTAATGATTTTAAGCCAATATTTTGTCTTTCTTTCATTTCTTGCGTTTCACTTCCTTTCAGTAGCTGTTTAAACAGGTTGTCTCATGAACAGCTTTTGGGTGTTTTTAAAAAAGGTCATATCAAAACTTCAGGACTGGTAGATTTTTAATTATTTCCAAAGATACTGACAGAAGAGAGCATGAACAAATTTACCAGCTTTGTGGACCTACAAATCCCTTATACTTTAAAGGAAAGGATAAAAGCTTAAGTCTGTAAGATGGAGGACTGTTTAGCATTTGGGAAGAAATACTTTATTAGGCCTGTAATTTAGTCCTTGACCTTTTCCTACAATCATTAATTATGTTGTACAGCAAGTGAGGATAGCCTTATATATTCAGACATATTTTAAAGAACTGAATAAGTATAAACAAAATATGATTTTCTTCCAGTTAACATTAAAAATTAGTAAATTGGCAAGTCCATGTCCACTAACATTTATTAGCAGGATTTGGGTTATTTTAATACACTCGTATTATTAAGCGTTGCTTAATGCCTTTCTTACAGATGCTACTGGAACAGTATTACCACAATCTGATTAGCCCATTCTTACCTACAACTAGTGTTCCATCAATGCTATGCAATCCTTTGCCAGTCTCAGGTCTCTTAGCCTTATTTCCTCCTGCCCACCTACCAGGTTTAGGGTTCAGCCCTGCGAGGGCTGCCTTCCCTGTAGTGTCCCACAGCTGTGCTCCCAGGCGAGACGGCCGGTGGAACAGCCTCAGTGTGGGGGTACTGCAGCCCCTAGTGTCACTTCCTGCTGGTAGCAGAACTGTGGGGTGCAGAAGTCAAAGAATGACTAGCAATTCCTCCAGAAAGTGAAGGAAAGTAGACCTTAAGGAAATGTTTCTTGGTCAAGTGTTAGAACTCTGAAAACTCTACAATGCAGCAAGCATTTCAAGAAAGAAAATTGAAAATGTTTTAACTGCTGACAATACATTGGCCCAGATGGTGCTGTTCAAACAGTGATTTCTAGTTTTGAACAAAACTGGCAAACATTCCTTGAATATATTCTTCTCCTTTTTTTGTCCTCATTTTGTTGTCCTTGTCACTGAACACTGGTGCTCTTATCAAAGGTAGAGCAAATCTTATTTCCTTTTCAAGTGTGTTGCCAGTTGTGAAATTCTGATTCTCTCTGGAGTCCATGGCAGGTAATTATGGTCATAAGAACAGTTTATCATCAGTTTTAAAAGAACATTTGCACATGTATAACAGCAGCCATCATGTCTGTCTTGTTCTTAGATGTATAGCTCTGATTTTTAGGCCTTTTGTGTGTATCATTACAATATGGTGGGGAAGACATTTTACAGTAGCCTGTGTTGAATTATCTCTTGAATAAATTTGTTTCTGGTTAACTGTATTGATGAAATCTGATAGAACTCATTCATTAGCCCTCATATAACACTTCAAACACAGTCAGCTGGCGTATTAGAAAGAAATGTCTGACTGATTAGGATGAGGCAGGTAGGACTGAGGGGTACTGGACTAACAGCAGGGAAAGTTTTGCTGACCATCCTCTTTCTGGACTCAAGGTCAAAAGGGTACGTGTTCCACTTTTCTGAGGGTGGAGATGAGGGTAAGTGAGGTCCCAGCTCATCCATGCTCCCTCAAGTTTTTTACCCTTCACTATGGCCTGGAGCCTTCAAAGGAAAAGAGCTGAGATTGTTCCAGATGGAAGTCAAGAGCAGCTTGTATTTACAACTAGAAAAGTGCTTTTTTTCCTCTCTTGAAATAAACGTGTACTGGTGAGACCTGCAATTCATCCAACATGCTACCAAATGAGTGACAGGAGTAAACCAAGTACAAAGTTACCTAAATCTGAGGTCTATGCCAAAGCTAGAAGCTAGTATCTAAGGTGCAGTAATGGGAATGAGCCCAACAGGACATAAAGAACACTTACTTTAAATGAACACAGGGACAGAGGAGAAATACAAAAGATCACATCACAATGGCTTTACTGGCAAGATACCTAAATGGAGGTATCTGAGGTCAGAAAGGAGCGCTTTAGGCCAAGTTGGAGTGGAGCTAATTTCCCCAGAAAAGCTCTGAAACAGGTTTCAGTTGTAAAAAAAGGCCCAGCAGCTATGCAAAGTATCAGAGTTTTAAAATAATTAGAAACTTTAACCCTACCTTTCAACTTTAAAAAGAGTAAACAACTGAGTCGCTGATCAGATTTTTTTTTTTTTAAACTGTGCTTTAGGTGAAAGTTTACAGCTCAAGTTAATTTATCATACAAAAATTTATACACATATTGTTATGTGACCCTAGTTGCTATCCCTGTAATGTGACAGCACACTCCCCCTTTCCACCCTGGGTTTCCTGTGTCCATTCAACCAGCTCCTATCACTTGCTGCCTTCTCATCCCACCTCCAGACAGGAGCTGCCCATTTAGTCTTGTGTATCTGCTTGAACTAAGAAGCACACTCTTCACGAGTAGTATTTTATGTTTTACACTCCACTCTAATCTTTGTCTGAAGAGTTGGGTTCAGGAATGGTTGTAGTTCTGGGTTAACAGAGAGTCCGGGGGCCATGTCTTCTGGGGTTCCTCCAGTCTCAGTCAGACCATTAAGTCTGGTCTTTTTACTAGAATCTGAGTTCTGTGCCACCCTCTTCTGCTCCATCAGGGACTCTCTGTTGTATTCCCTGTCAGGGTGGTCATTGGTGGTAGCCTGGCACCATCGGGTCCTTCTCATCTCAGGCTGATGGAGTCTCTGGTATCTGACCCCTTTTGTCTCTTGGGCTAATATTTTCCTTGGGTCTTTGGTGTTCTTCATTCTCCATTGCTCCAGGTGGGTTGGGACCAATTGATGCATCTTAGATGGCCGCTTACAAGCTTTTAAGACCCCAGATGCCACTCACCAAAGTGGGATGCAGAACATTTTCTTAATAAACTTTGTTTTGCCAATTGACTTAGACTGTGCCCCAATATCATGGTCCTCAGGCCCCCGCCCCTGCTACTCTGTCCCTCGAAGTCTTTGGTTGTGTTCAGGAAACTTTTTAGCTTTTGGTTTAGTCCAGTTGTGCTGACTTCCCCTGTATTGTGTGTTGTCCTTCCCTTCACTGGAGATAATTCTTGTCCACTATCCAGTTAGAGAATGCCCCTCTCCCTCCCTCCTCACCCTCATAACCATCAAAGAATGTTTTCTTCTGTGTTTAAACCTTTTGAGTTCTTATAATAGTGGTGTCATACAATATTTGTCCTTTTGCAACTGACTAATTTCACTGAATATAATGCCTTCCAGATTCATCCATGGTATGTTTTGCGGATTCATCATTGTTCTTTATCATTGCATAGTATTTCTTTGTGTGAATTACCGTAATTTGTTTATCCATTCGTCTGTTGATGGGCACGTAGGTTGTTTCCATCTTTTTGCTATTGTGAACAGTGCTGCAGTGAACATGGGTGTGCATATATCTATTTGTGTGACAGCTCATATTTCTCTAGGATATATTTCAAGGAGTGGGACTGCTGGATTGTATGGTACTTCTATTTCTAGCTTTTTAAGGAAGCGCCAAATCAATTTCCAAAGTGGTTGTACCATCTTACATTCCCACCAGCAGTGTATAAGTGTTCCAGTCTCTCCACAATGTCTCCATTTATTATTTTGTGTTTTTTTGATTAATGCTAGCCTTGTTGGGGTGAGATGGTATCTCCTTGCAGTGTTGATTTGCATTTCTCTAATGGCTAATGATCACAAGCATTTCCTCATCTAGTAGCCACCTAAATGTCTTCTTGGGTGAAGTGCCTGTTCATATCCTTTGCCATTTTTTAATTGGGTTATTTGTCTTTTTGTTGTTGAGGTTTTGCAGTATCTTGTAGATTTCAGAGATTAGACCCTGACTGGATATGTCATAGCCAGAAATTTTTTTCCCAGTCTGTAGGTTGTCTTTTCACTCTTTTGGTGAAGTTTTTGACGAGCATAAGTGCTTGATTTTTAGCAGCTCCCAGTTATCTAGTCTCTCTTCTGGTGCTTGTGCATTGTCACTTATGTTTTGTATTCTGTTTATGCCATGTATTAGGGCTCCTAGCGTTATCTCTATTTTTTCTTCCATGATCTTTATTGTTTTACATTTTATATTTAGGTCTTTGGTCCATTTTGAGTTAGTTTTTGTACACAGTGTGAGGTATGGGTCTTGTTCCATTTTTTGCAGATGGCTATCCAGTTATCCCAGCACCATTTGTTAAAGAGACTCTCTTTTCCCCATTTAATGGACTTTGGGCCTTTGTCAAATATCAGCTGCTCATAGGTGGATCAATTTACGTCTAGATTCTCAATTCTGTTCCATTGGTCTGTGTATCTGTTATTGTACCAGTACCAGGCTGTTTTGACTACCGTGGTGGTATAATAAGTTCTAAAATCAGCTAGTGTGAGGCCTCCCACTTTGTTATTGTTCTTCTTCAGTAATGCTTTACTTATCCGAGGCCACTTCTCTTTCTCTATGAAGTTGGTGATTTGTTTCTCCATCTCATTAAAAATGCCATTGGAATCTGGATTGGGATTGCACTGTATCTGTAGATCTTTTTGGGTAGAACAGACATTTTCACAATGTTGAGTCTTCCTATCCATGAGCAAGGCATGTTTTTCCACTTATGCAGGTCTCTTTTGGTCTCTTGCAGTAGTGTCTTGTAGTTTCCTTTGCATAGGTCTTTTATGTCTCTGGTTAGATTTATTCCTAAGCATTTTATCTTCTTGGGGGCTATTGTAAATGGTATTGATTTGGTGATTTCCTCTTCGAAGTTCTCTTTGCTGGTGTAGAGGGATCCAACTGATTTTTGAATGTCTATCTTATATCCTGATACTTTGCTGAAATCTTCTATTAGTTCCAGTAGTTTCCTTGTGGATTCTTTGGGGTTTTTCTGTGTATAAGATCATATCATCTGCAAATAGGGATACTTTTATTTCTTCCTTCCCAATTTGGATGCCCTTTATTTCTTTTTCTTACCTTATTGTTCTGGCTAGGACTGCCAGCACAATGTTGAATAAGAGTGGTGATAAAGGGCATCCTTGTCTGATTTTGTACTTTCAGACTCTCTCCATTTAGGATGATGTTGGCTGTTGGCTTTGTATAAATGCCCTTAATTACGGAGAGGATTTTCCCTTCTATTCCTATTTTGCTGACAGTTTTTAATCACGAATGGGTGTTGGACTTTGTAAATGCAGTTTCTGCATCAATTGATAAGATCATGTGGTTCTTGTTTTTTATTTATGTG